GCATAACAAAGTCGACATTGCTACACATCACCGGAAGGGTAAAACGCCTTGGAGCAGCAAGCCCAATCTATATTATCAATTTACCGTCTCGTTCTGATCGAAGGATACTTGTAATAGCTCTTGTTCGAACTCTTAATTTCGAAACTTTCATAGTACCTGCTCACTCAATTCACTCACCGGAAGTCGTCTCTCGTTTTCATTTGGTACGGCCCAGGATAACAATATACGATTACAACTTTTTAACTGTATTTGAGCTCGCCTGTTGGGCAAGCCATATGCAAGTATGGTTAGAAATTGCTACTTCTGCGAGCAACAATAGCTGGTCAATTATATTCGAAGATGATATTGATCTTGAAATGGCTACATCAGAAGTTATGGAATCATTTCCTCGAGATCTTTGGAATAAGCCAGATATGATTTATCTGGGCCATTGCAGCAACCCAGCTGGGCCGATAATGTACGAAGGAATATATGGATATCGTGTCCATAAAGCTCTTAATCCACTTTGTACACATGCCTATGCAATACGCTCAAATGCTGCACGTAAACTTATCCGTCTTTTAGCCACACCACAGAGAGGAATCGACCGTGACATTGTTAATCAGATTAATGCTGGTGAAATATTAGCATTTAGTATCCATCCTCCATTAGTTGTACAACGCCCTATTTCATCTCTCAATCCATCTGATGTTCAAGTACAAAACAAGAATTCACTTAGTTTTAGAATTGAGAAGTGGCTTTTTTCACTGTCGAAATGGTGGCGAGGTGTGAAAGATTTGAATACACTTCGTAATTCGACCTGGGTCACAATAGATTCTAATAAAGTTGACCACTGAACAGCGCAATACCAACCACAAAATAAGACAGAATGATAATGAAACTGGTGACAAAAACAGAAAGACTAGACTAAATTTTTAAGGATTCATAATATATATAAGTATTTTCCTAAGTAAATGTAATTGTTTATTTCATATCTTTGTCAAACTATGCATGATGAAACTACTCTGCATTCAAACTTCGAAATGACAAATTAAAAGATCTTGTTGGATTTGGTTACAACAGCTGAATTGAGAAAGTGCGTATGGAATGTGGGTGTGGATCTCACCAACATCGCACACTCCACACTCACACCCAGTTGTTTTTATTTGAATAAAATAGATTTAAGTAAGTCACGAAGTTGAACACTATCAATTTCATTAATAACTTGTGAACTTGAAGTAGATATGAAGAAAAGATATAAAATTACTATTGATAATATACTTCGAATTTGCTGTTTATAGTTCAAAACCACATAATTAATTCGTATTGACTACTCGACTATGACTTACGATGTTAATCTAATTTTTTTCTTTTATCTTGAAAATAAATTTTCATTATTTAAAGTGCCAATAATGAGAAGAAGTTTATGTTTTTTTTTTTACTGAACAATTTTATTCGAATCGTTTGAGAGTGATAATAATAAGAAAACAAAAATTAGTCATGTTCGAATCCGGATTCTAGAAAAAAAAGCGTGTCATATGATGACACAGCATTAGGCACTGATGATAATGACGAATAACCATTTAAAATCACTAACCTATCTTCTGAAAGACACAAATTAAATATTTTATTTTCTATCTAAATAAGATTGAGCTAAAAAAATCAACAAATACTATTATTACTAAATTTTATTCGAATTAGTCTTTATTTGATGTTGTGAAATGCATCATTTTTCTTTTACAAAACATCAAATTTCTTATCCTTTCCGAAAAAGACTATTATAATAAAATTTCAATATTTGTTTTTTTTTAGATATAAATATATATATATATTCTAATAATGCAATATTTATGAATAATCTTAAAAACGATCAATGTCTCGTTCATCAATTGCATGTTGGTTTTTTCGTTCATATCGTTTACGTTCTATATCTTTTATTAAATGTATTCTATGGCTTATAATACTTTATCTATTAAATACAATACTCGGTGTACAATATTATTTATGGTCAGAAAGATCGTTTAAGAATGAATATCATTTAAGCATGACACAAATTGATATTACAAAAATTGATGAAAATAATCCAGAAGAAATTTTAGGTTTACCAAAGTATATTATTTCAAATAGATTTATTATTAATAATGAATATTTATGTAATCATGAAAATTCAGTAACAATTATTCAACCACATTTATTGATCTTAGTCAAATCAGCAGTTGAGAATTGGAAAGCAAGACAAGCTATTCGAATGACATGGGCAAAGAATGATTTTTTAGAAAAAAATAATATTAAGTTAGCTTTTGTTTTGGGTAAGTTTTATCAAAATAAGTTTTTGAATTTTTTCTTATCAAAATAATTTATATCTATCAAATCTAAAGGTCTAATTAGATCACAAAAATTTTCTTCAAGTAAGAAATATTGAGATAATTCTTTTATTTTATAATTTCTATCATATTCATATTGATTATTGTAGATGCAAATGAACAGAATCTCAGTGTAGAAAAAGAATCAAAACAATATAAAGATATTATTCAAATTGATCAAATCGATTTTTATTATCATAACACATGTAAATTTTATTTAAATTAAAAACATAGATATAAAAATCGATGCCTTTTCACAACTGTCGATCATATTAATCTAGTACTATTATGACTACATGAGACTAGAGAAGTATTAAGGATAGTCTATTTTAAATTATGATATCTCTGACTATTTCATGGTTAAACTTTGTTAGAAATACGATTGAGACAATGAAAAAGAGCAGCTTCGAAAATAGTAATCATATGTGAAAATAGATAATATATGTTTAAAAAAAATGCTTTTATCTTAAGCAGTACATCAAATAGTCCACAAATTTCAAGGTTTGATTTATATATAACACTATCTACTGATTATTTGACAATAAGCAAATTAAAGAATAACAATAGAATATGTTGTGACTTTAGTGGAGATGCTATGGTAAAATTTTCAGCCTTGCATCATGACGTTTTCGGAAGATATTCAACAAACAATGGTTAAAAATAGCTCATTTGGCACCTGAAAATTCTCTATAGGCCTTCATTCTATATGGGATTAGGACAATTCGTCGCAATGATATAAACAAATCATATCATTGCGACAAATTATCCTGCGACGAATTGTCTGATCACCGAGATAAAGGATGAAAGGTTTAATGTCTCAAAAAATGGCGTTCTAATTAAAAAGGGACTCTGTGAGTTTTGCATCTTGATATGCTCTTTCGCACAAACAAAACTTATTTGTTAGAATGAAGTTCCTTCGAAAATTCTGGGATGTATGATTAAAACAACATAAATAGAAATAAAACGAAAAAGATTTTTCGCACTATCTGAAAAAAATCATATACGTAATTTCATGCAAAAAAAATGACAAAAAGTTTTTGGAAAAAACGAGATGCCAAATAAAAAATTCTATTATTTATGAAAGATCAGACATCGGATTATCTTCCCATACATCTATCTCAATTTTCATGTTTTTCACTAATATTGATTTTTTTTTTTGGAGGGGTAGGGAAACTTAAGTAAAACTCGTTATTGAGAATTAACAACAAGTTTCTAGTTGTAAGTTTTATGACAGAATCGAACAGTCTGAAGTTTTGCCTTACATTTTTAAAGTTAAACTATATAATTTTCTTTCGCTATACAGTCAACTAGAATATACTAATTGTATCTTCGATCGGATAAAACTAAAATGAAGATTGACATATTTCTTAAGATAAAAAAAAATAGTTCTTTTAAAAAGAGAATAATTATTTTATACATTTATAAAGAGTTACGAAATATACGACAAAAATTTTATGTATAGATAAAATGGTAATGATGCTTCGTTGGATAAATGAATATTGTACATCGAAATCTCGTCATTCTCCATCTAATGATCTTCGAAAATATGTTTTATTTGTTGATGATGATTATTTTATTGATTTAAATTCTTTATTAAAATATATAAATAAAATTGATAGAAATTCTGATATAACACCATATGAAAGACGAACATTTTTAACTGGTTATATATATGAAAATTCTCGTCCACGTCGATTTTTAAATGATCGTTGGTATATATCAATAGATGATTATCCATATGATTATTATCCGCCTTATGCAACAGCTGGATGTTTTCTAATGACAAGATCTAGTGCACGACTATTTTATATGGCATCAAAATATACTCATTTAATTCGTTTTGATGATGTTTATATGGGACTTGTAGCTTATTCAATGTCAATTAAATTAATTCCAAATAATAATTTATTTTCATCATATGCTTCATCGATGATTTTACTTAATAATCAAATAGGATTTTTTTCAAAATTTAAAAGATTTGTTATTAATCAAATCAATTTAAATTCAACAGACAAACCTTTTTGTATTCATGGATATCGTGGAGAAGAATTAATTCAAATTTGGAATGGCATCTATCAAACTAATCTAACACTTCCAATAATTAATTGATTGAAAAAAAAAAACTTTCGGAAAAAATATGTTTTGAGCACCACAAATTAAGAGGTGGGTGTGGGTATGACTATGGGTGGATGTGGGGCGTGGAGCGTGGGTGTGGGGCGTGGAGTGTGGATGTATGTGAGGAGTGGAGTGTGGGTGTGTGTGGGAGGCGTGGAGTATGGGTGTGTGTGGGGCGTGCGGCGTGGGGCGTGGAGTGTGGGTGTTCTATTGATTGACATACCCACACCATACCTACACCCACACCCAAATAGTGCAAATTCATTTGTTCCTCTATATTTCCTTTGAAACCTTTATTCGCATCATCATATCATCAAATTACTGCGACAGATGATGACTAACATACAATTTTGTTTTTAATTAAATACATATATCAAACTAATCAGATATTGTTATAATTTTTCGGCAATTATAAAGAATATCACTTATAGTTTCCATATCAAAAGAATTATTCGATGTTTGCTTCTATTCTCCCTCCATTTCTTTATCTGATGATATGATGTCCGTATCATCTGTAGATGATTCATAGACGTCTTCATCATCTCAATCAAATTCTTCAGTGACAGCATCCAATTCATCAGGACCGGCACTAAATGTTAATATTGATGTGTTTTCTTCGTCCTCCTCCAATTCATCATTCAGTTCTTCCTTCTCATCGGTCTCCTCACCCAATCCCGCTTCGTCTTCAACAACACCTGTATTAGCATGTTCATCAGCATTCCGCGATCTAAACAATCGACAGATATCCTTTAAAAAAATCATTCAGTATTTTCGAACATTGTAACAATAGCAGAGTTAATACATATTAAAATAAAATAAATACTGCAACATAACATAATACGAGATAAGTGACTTTTTATAACTCAAGATGAATATAACAGATGACTCATGAGGATTATCCTCTTAGTATCTTTAAGATTTCTCCTCTATTATTTCTGTGATTAAAGCCCATTTTATTAGCAAAAGATAGCGCTTGAAATTCTCTACAAAACCATTGTTAGGGGGCTAACTCTAGATCTTCGAAGGGATGATAAGATGAGATGGATGTAATCGTGTATTACACTTCTGTTTATTTATGAAAGTTCACAGGCCATATATAGGCTAGTAGATCACATGTCTTTAAAAAATGTCCATCGGATAATAGAGATAAATCCAATCGGACATAATACATATGAAAAGATGACACATAGAGAAAGAAAGGAAAAGACCAAGATATGTGATAGATAGGAATAGAAAAAAACCAAATATATGTAATACATGTAAGAAGAAACACATCAACGAGAACGAAAGGAAAATACCAATTGAACAAAAGAGAAAGTAACTAGAACATATAAAGAAGAAGAAAGCGAAGAGAGGTGTACTAACTACCACCTAATACATTGTTTATTTAGTCGTATTTATTATTTTTTTTTAAAATCAAATAAGTAAACTTCAAAGAACTATCATATTTATAGAGATGTTCTTTTGCTTCTGTTTCATATGTAGTCCAAAATTCAGTCAATAATTGTTCAGTATCTTCTTCTGATCGACCATTATTCAATAATGATTGTTTAAGAGCTGATTCGGACCAACTACGATTAAACAATGTTATTGATTGAGTTAATTCATCTAATGTTATTTGTCCATCTTGATACTGTTTAAAAAAAGGCATTTGCACTGAATTGAATTCGGATTTAATTAATTCGAATGAATATCGATTAAAGAGTTCATAATCAATACATTCTGAATACGATCGAAGATACAATGGAATAGTATAATCAAGTAATTCCTTGGGAGTAAGTTTAATTAATTGAGCACATTTGTAGAGTAAATTTATTTGTTCATCATGTCCAGTTGAACCATAATCATCAGTACCTAGAATAATAAGAATAAGGACACTACCTAGAATAAGTTCACTAGAACGTTGTTCTAAAAACAGTGCATAATCAAAATGAGCTTGACGTTTAAATAAATCTCGTTCTTTTGTATCTTGAGCAAAGTCAAAAGTACAATGATCGGATAAATTACATGGCTTAGATGAAAACCAATGGATAGCTGTTGATGAATATCCGATTGAAAGTGAATTCATGGGAAGACATTGTTCATAAAAAGATTGACCATTAGCTAATCCATAATATGATTTATCTTTGTTAAGAAGTTCAACAAGAGATGTCCAATCATTTGTTGGTAGATCATTGTGAATAACAAGAATTTGACGACGTTCATCTTTTTTTTTCAAGTGTTCAATGATCATTTTCATAGCATACATCGAATTAAGACCTTGAGCTGAACCAAAATCGGCAATAATCAGTGGATTAGATGAAGGAGAAATGTCGAGTACATCAATTGCTTCTCGAATAAATGGTAGTGAAGCTTCAACAGCAGCCAATTGAGGTGACGAATTCAAATTGTATGATTTAGCCATACCAAGAATCGTGCTCATTGTCGTCATATTTACACTCTACACACAATATCTATGTTAGAATATACGCATCCTCTTATCTTCCTCTTTCACACTCACTATTATGAAGCATTATCTATTCTTCTCCTCTTCTCACTCATTGACCAAAATTTCATTGACCTCGCATCTTTCATGTTCTTTTTTTTTCTATTCTTTCTTCCCTCTCTCTTCGTAACCGCTACAATGTGAATATATATGACCGTTCACTTATGTTATGCATATACTCCTAACTCCATGTTGGGTATACATGCAACTTATGATACGATAATTTTATGTGAATAAATTTTGATGATAATGCGGTGGGGGTGGTGTGAATGTAGGGTGGTTTGGGTGTGAGTGTTAATGTTTCCTTCAGCCCACACCCACACCCATACCCTCAAGTATTCACTCTACAAGCGTACATGCTCAGCGAAATTCTATCCTATGATTCATAATGAGAGTATCCTCAGGAAAAAGACTGAAAAATCCCAAGAAATGTTCGAACGCACGGACCCATTTAGTTCTCCCATTTCATAAATGGAGTGAATCTTCTCTTCACCAACAGTCACATCCCACATCTACAGACCTACTCATAACCACATCCAGCCTGTATACTTGTTAATATGGCTCATCAATTTATTCAAACATAGTTAGAACTATTTTTACAGACAAATGTCACATTCATCATGATCGAAAAATAAATGAATGACGATGAACAAGTGTGAGCAAAGTTTGTATTAGAGAGAAAAGTCACGAATATCTTATGCACTATACTGCTTCAACAACAGAGTACTTCGAAAGTTTAACGTTGTCTTGAATTAATTGCTTGATATTCTGAAGTTGTTCTTCGACGCTCTCTTCATTGTTTTGATCAATATTATCTTGAATTTGTTGAATGAAAAAATGTTTTTCTATATACTTTCCAGCTTTATCGAGTTTACCCATGGGACCTACATTTTCATCTTTCTGCAAAGCTGTATACGGTTTAGAAATGAACCATGAAATTCCCTTCTTACAGCATGTGCAAGAAAATCAAGTGCTACAGAAAAGAGAAAATTGAACCCGCATCATTTCATAGTCTGAAAGTAGATTGTAGAGCAGTTCCGTCCGCCATAATGATCCTTGTGTCATCAACGATGGAATTTCACCAACAACCAAACCTATTAGGAGAAAAATTATTTTAAATGTTCTTTTGAATAAGATGTAATTGTTCATCAAAGTTTGTTTGCTGTCTAATTTTTAAATGTCTCTGAAATCTTAAGAAATTTTTCGATTAGTTACGACTATTGATCAAGAAAAAGAATCTCCATTTCTTAGAGTATATCTAAATGAGAAATGAATTGTTAATAAGATATATCTTACCAATTAATAAATTGATAACGAATATAGAAAAAGCGATTGCTGTAAGCATGAATATAACGTAAACTAATTTATAATATCCAATGCCACCATGTTCCGAATTGTATAAACGATCTTCGTATCCCAAATCGAAAAGCATCAAACTAGTGCGTAACAATGCTTCAATAGGTGTTCCATAAACAGTTTGATTCTGTAAAAGCATCCAATATGTAAAACCGAAACCACAAATGACGATAAGTAAGACAGGAAGAAAACGAATGAATTTATTCGTAATCACTTGTAACATAACGATATACACTCCCAAATTGAAAATCGGAGCTGTTCAAATATATACTAGAAAATTTATATCTGCAATAAGAATACCCATCGCACCTAATTGATATTGAATTGGACAGCGAAACATAATTTCAGATTGCCAAGGATACCAATCGAGAACATAGACATAGGTAAGAACAAGTGCCGATATCTCGATATAAGAGGAACTCGTACGAAATACTTTTGGAAACAAAACCAATATAACGATGATGTTCTTTACGATGAAACTTGACATTATTACATATAGTGTCACTTTAATTCTTTTGTAGTGATCCGCTTTAAATACTTCATCAGTTCGATCAAAATTATTCAGGAAATAATTACTCACACTTTCACATGTGGCTAAATCGACCATCATAGTCATATTGGCTCTATCATAGAAATATTGTGGACGCTTTCCATGAAGTATCACTGTGGTCAACAAAGCAAGATAAGTGATGTAGATAAAAAATGAGATGACGAATAAAGTGAAGCCAAATGATCGAAGTTTGGCTTGATGCAAAAATGTATTATAAGAATGTTCAATCAGTTTTGGGCATGTCTTCTGTGAGCTCGCAATAGATAGTGGATGATTACGAACGATTGTATAAGAATCATTTGTGTAGTATTTTCCAAGTATACTAGTTTTTTCTGGTCTACAATTAAACCACGACTCACGAAAAATGTATCCCAAACAAAACCAACAAGTAAAGATGGTGCCAACACCACGCTTACGCCACAAATGCTTCCACGTCAGTGGTTCGTCCGACAGTGTGACACCTCAATGACAATATTTCAAATCAAACAATATTGCTTCATCTAATGATTAAAGTTCTTGCTCAACTAGTTTCCGTCACTGTATAGTTTTATTAAATTTGTATTTCATTATCGTGATATAGAGACTTCATACGAACATCGATTATTTGACATAGGATATTTTACAATATATTCATTCCGGAAAAGTAAGAAATGTATAAAATAATTTCATACTCAGGAAGTTTCAGTGAGAGTCTTCATAAATAGAATTGTCTA